ATTTACCCCAAAGACACAGATGTAGTGAAAAGAAGGCCCATATGCACCCCAATGTTCATAGCAGCTATGTCTGCAATAGCCAAACTATGGAAAGAGCCCAGATGTCCACTGACAGATGAATGGGTAAAGAAGATGTGGTGTGTGCGTGTGTGTGTATATATATGTGTGTATGTATATATATATATATTCCTCAGCCGTCAAAAAAATAATGAAATCTTGCCATTTACAATGACGTGGATGGAACTAGAGGGTATTATGCTAAGCGAAATAAGTCAGAGAAAGACAAATACCATATGATTTCACTCATATGTGGAATTTAAGAAACAAAACAGATGAACCTAGGGGAAGGGAAGGAAAAATAAGATAAAGACAGAGAGGGAGGCAAACCATAAGTGACTCTTAAATCTATGTAACAAACAGGCTTGCTGGAGTGGAGGTGGGTGGGGAGATGGGGTAACTGGGTGATGGGCATTAAGGAGGGCACATGATGTGATGAGCACTGGTTGCTATACGCAACTTATGAAATACTGAATTCTACCCCTGAAACTAGTAATACAATATATGTTAACTAAATTGAATTTAAATAAAGAATAAAAAAAATTTCCATTTCCATTTTGTGGAAAACCAGCCATAGAAAATTTTACAAAGACCCTACAAAATCTTTCAAGTGGGAGCTCCCAATCTCACTGAAAATTCAATAGGAATAAGGTTTGAAAGTAAGACTGGAGATCACCCAAGGAAGAATTAGCACATGTACGATCAACGACACTAAAACCGGAAAGATGAACACAGGGTCAGAGACCTGTGGGACGGCCTGATACACATGGAACTGAAGTCCCAGGGGAGAAAGAATGAGACAGAGAAAAACATCTGAAGAAACAGCAGTCAAAAACTTCCCAAATTAGGTGAAGAGCGAACCTAGAAGATCATGGAAACGTAGCATACCTGGAGCAGGATACACACAAGGAAAACCAGACGCAGGCGTGTGGCCGCTAGCGCTGAAACCGAAGGAAAGAGACAGTCTTGAACCAGAAGCGGACTATCCAGAGGACAGAAAGATAAACCTTTCTATTGACTTCTGATCCTAAGCAGTGGGAGGCCAAAGGACAATGAAATGACATCTTCAAAGTGTTAAAAACAACTGTTAACTCAGTTTCTATAAAACAGCAAAAGTGTTCTCCAGGCACGAGGATGACATCAGGACATTGTCAGATGAACAAGAACCAAGATGGCTGGTCACAAGAGAACTGGACGGCGTGGCCCAGACGGGAGCTCCTCGGACCGTGGGCGTCGGGGGGGGGGGGGGGGGGGGGTGCGGTGCACACACCACAGGCAGTGGCGAGAGACGGCACCTCAGCATAAAAACTATGAATGCTTTTTCTTTCTACTCTTCATTTTGTTTAAAAATAAGGGCAGATTAAATGGAACTACATTTTATGTAAAAAGCTCAGTATTAACTCCAAATAGATTGTGTGAAGTGAAAGCGGACTCTGAAATTCATACCGCAACCAGAACGGTACAGCGCGGAGAGGTATGGGAAATACCAGTGGAGCTCTGCCAGCCACGACGGAGGGGACAGGGCTACACTAGTCTCCGGCTGCAGACAACTAGAAAATGGGGGGAAATATGTGCAACAGCAGTTCTCAGACATTGGGCAATCAGCAGGGCAGGACTGCCACGCCCGGGAGAAGGCACGCAAACAAACTGAGCCCACGATCACCACATCTCTCTCTCGAGACTGTGACCCAGTTGGGGCACGACACTCCTGCTGAGTTAGAGAGACAGAAATCAAAGTCTGGGCAGATGGAGCCAAGTGGAATTTGTGGGCAGAAAACCAGACAGGAGGAGCTGTCCAGAACAAGAAGAGAAGGCGGCGCTGAGATCTCCTTGCGTTTTTGACTGAATACTAAGCAGGTGTGCCCGGGGGGAAAGGACAGGAGGCCAGGCCAAGACTCAGAATGGAAGACATTGCGTCTTGACTAGGCAGAATGGAAAGTCTTCGCTAACCACCAAGGAATTCCACGGAGATCCCAGAAGTAACAGAACTGAACCAAAGATTAACACTCTAACAAAGCTTAAAAACTGGCCCCCCAATATAAGCATTTGAAAAGATGCTCATCATCATTAGCCATCGGGGAAATGCAAATCAGACCCACAATGGAATAGCACCTCACACCTGTCAGAACAGCTAGTATCAAAAAGACAAGAAATAGTGTTGGCGAAGATGTGGAGCAAAGGGGACCCTCGTGCACTGTTGTGAGAATGAAAGTTGGTGCAGCTGCTGTGGAAAACAGTATGGACTTTCCTCAAAGAATTAAAAACAGGGGCGCCTGGGTGGCTCAGTTGGTTAAGCGTCTTCCTTTGGCTCGGGTCATGATCTCAGGGTCCTAGGCTGCAGCATGATTTACAATAGCCAAGATAAGGAAGCAACCCAAGTGTCCACTGATAGATGAATGAACAAATGCACACACATACACACACACAGGAATATTAGTCATAAAAAAGAATGGAATCTTGCCATTTAAATGTGGCAATGTGGATGGACCTAGAGGGAATTATGCTAAGTGAAGTAAGTCAAACAGAGAAAGACAAATACTAAAGGATTTCACCTAATGTAGAATCTAAAAAACAAACAAGTAACAGAAATATACTCATAGATACAGAGAATAAACTGATGGTCGCCAGAGGAGAATGGGGTGAAGGGACAAGAGAAACAGGTGAAGAGGACCAAGAGGTACAGACTTCTAGTTATAAAATAAATAAGTCATAGGGGTGTCTGGGTGGCTCAGTCATTAAGCGTCTGCCTTCAGCTCAGGTCATGATCCCAGGGTCCTGGGATCGAGTCCCACATGGGGGGATGGAGTCCCACATTGGGCTCCCTGCTCAGCAGGAAGCCCGCTTCTCCCTCTCCCACTCCCCGCTTGTGTTCCTGCTCTCGCTGTCTCCCTCTCTGTCAAATAAATAAAATCTTTAAAAATAAAATAAGTCACGGAGATATAAATAAAACTGTAATTAACTTTGTATGGTGACAGATGGTAACTAGACCTATTATGCTAATCAGTTTGTAATGTATAAAAATATTGAATCACTATGTTGTATGCGTGAAACTAATATAATATTGTATGTCAATTATAACTTAATAAAAAAAGAATTTGGACTGTATATTTAGACAACTGCTTTTATAGAAATTTTGATTTAATTAGCTACTGCTGAGATTTTTATTTTATTATTTTAAGACTTATTTGTTTTAGAGAGAGCGTGTTTGCAAGGGTGGGGAGGGGCAGAGGGAGAGAGGGTCTCAAGCAGACTCCCCACTGAGTGCAGAGCCCCACGTGGGCTGAATCCCACAACCCTGAGCTCATGAGCTGAAACCAAGAGTCAGACACTTAACTGAGCCACCCAGGTGCCCCTTGCTGAGATTTTTAATAGGGGTTTAGCTGCATTTTATCAAAATATATCCAGTTATTGGGGCGCCTGGGTGGCTCAGTCGTTAAGCGTCTGCCTTTGGCTCAGGTCAGGGTCCCAGGGTCCTGCGATCGAGCCCCGCATTGGGCTCCCTGCTCCACGGGAAGCCTGCTTCTCCCTCTCCCACTCCCCCTGCTTGTGTTCCCTCTCTCGCTGTGTCTCTGTCAAATAAATAAATAAAAATCTTTAAAAAAATATATCCAGTTAATAATCATATTTGTGTTGATTTTGCTAGTTCAAAAGCAGACATACGATCATTATAAAGAAAACCAATATTCACCTGCATTGGTAGTATTTAAGAAATCAGATACCTCATGTAAAATAAATATGGGATACATACAAAGTCTTTGGTAAAACTTAATTCTAAGAGTATCTTTTTTTTTTTTTAAGATTTTATTTATTTATTTGACAGAGAGACATAGAGCACAAGTAGGTAGAGAGGCAGGCAGAGGGAGAGGGAGAAGCAGGCTCCCCGCTGAACAGGGAGCCCGATGTGGGACTCGATCCCAGGACCCTAGGATCACGACCTGAGCCGAAGGCAGCCGCTTAACCAACTGAGCCACCCAGGCGCCCCTAAGAGTATCTTTTTTAAAAATAGATTTTATTTATTT